AAAACTGATTTGTTACACGAGTCGGATTTTCTATTTTATATATGTAATTACACTTCCTGTGACATATCGTTTGACTGGTATTAAGTAAAGTTGGTATGGTTTCTAAATTGGTTAGTATATGACGAATTGCAGGATTTAAAATCATGATTTTTCCGCGCCCATATGGTCTATTTTGATTTGATCTTAGAAGGCGGGTTCACCAGCGATAAAAAACACTCGAGAATATGGAAATATTTCAAACAGTCATTTAATAAGGAAAAAACTGAGCAGGACTCAGATTTTCCTTTAATAAAATGGTAACTGGAATTGGTGAGTTAGCTTGCTTGAGAAGAAAGAATCTCTAAAAATTCTTACCGACAAAAAACCGATCCTCGGAAGAAAATGATAGAAGCAATTCGGGAATGGATTAATAAGGAAAAGAAGAAAAGACAAAGATATTACACTTTTGTTGATACATTTTGTGATGATTGTGCGATACATTTGATGTTATTATTCGAAATAAAATTAAATAAATTGCTAATGATCCTTGAGATCTGAAGCAAGAGAAAATAAAATGATTTTCCTTTTCTCATATACTATCATTATTATTAGATTGATGGTGGCATACAACAGAGCACCTTCCTAACAGTAATACGATTAAATTAGCATATTGTTAGATTTAATAAAATTATCATCCTTTTTACACATATACAAGCCTTTCACGAGATCTCTGCTCAATACTTTTGCTCATTAATTTAAGAATTATTTACTAGAATAAAGGGACAAATTCAATGGCCTCTACCTATAACTATTTTACTATTTTCGATGACATCTAAAAATCCATCCACAAACTAAATAATAGCTTGCACAACGGGAGCTTTAATCCGACAATAATGATATAAATTTATTATCAAACAAATTTATTTATTGTCTTGCCTGCTTATGTAAAGACTAATATACATGTCACAAGCATAGGAGAAGCAATTGGGAGTGTGAGGCTCATTAAATCATAGGAAACATCATAATAAAAAAATAAATATTTAATAAAATAAGCATTCAAGATTGTGAACATGGATAGTAATAGGAGAAACTTCAATAGGCCCCAGCAGATTTATTATTATTTCAAAAAACCAGAATTCAATTTCAATTGAAGAACCACCCTGAATTTTCCATTGTATCATACCCTTCACGTCCACAAGGTTTATAATATCTTTGATTAGGTGTTTTCTGGAATATATTATCCATCATCTTTGGTTAACGATACCCTGTCATCAGTTGATTTATTTCCTGTTCTGCAAAAGTAATATAAATGGATGCACAAACCATAAATCTCCGAGAATCCAATTTATCTACCACATAAGCACCACCCAACTATCCAAGGAATCCCTTACCAACAAGGCCAGGCTTAACCAAACCAGGTGCAGGATAAACACCACACTAATTATCATTTTCTGCTCTAAATTTCTTCAAGAAAATTGAAACTTTTCATCCATAAAAAAAATTGCGCACAATAAATTATATGATATTAAAACCTAATACCAAGATAAATCTTGTTTTACTGCCAAGTAAATAGTATGCGATTCCCATACCAACGTGATATACCACACTAAATATGGAGAATAAATGACGCAAATTAATCATTGGTTTGATATTAATTATATGTGATACAAGCATTAATGCACTTATATATATATATACACACATATACATATATATATACTTATAATTTTACTCTAATCTTCTTTATAAACCTTTTTTTACTATTTTATATCAAAAAAAAAAAGATGTCTAAAAAACATAATAGTAACAGTAATTCAGACAAGAAATTCAATTTCAAAGAAGTTACAATTACTTTTTCACCAATAACAGCCTTATCTTTTATATTACTGATTCTATCAGCTTTATACAGTTATGATAAATCTTATAGGGGTCAAGAAATCTGTGAACTTGTTAGTCCAATCAAACAGGATGATAAATATCAATGGTTTTCTGCTCCCGAGTATTCAGCCTCCACCGGAAATTATAAATATTTAGACAATGGAGCATTTGTTTATCGACATATTTTCATGGATGAATTCCAAGAAGAGTTCAACGTCAAACCAATTAATTTTCCAGTTAAGTGATAGTAATTATTATATTATTATATTATTTTCTTGATTATTAATCAACTAATCATATCTGATCTATCAATAACTAATCATTGTCGTCGTCGTCGTCGTTGTCGTCATCATCATCATTGTATCATCATCATCATCATCATCATCATCATTAGATAATTGACCCGGTTCTTCAAGAATTTATAGATAGACATAATCTTGAATTTCGTTTGAAAAATGATACATCGTTAAATGCAAATTTAGTTCAATTAATATTAAGAGAATCGGAAAGACATGGACCGGCCCTTACACAATTGAAACAAAAAGTAGAAGAAGGTGCTTATATTGATGATGGAAGAGTTTATATTCGTTGGGTAAATGATATTGTAAGATACGGAATGTTTGCTGGTAAAGATTTCAAACCAGGAGAAGTTTTTGGAATTTATACCGGTAAAAATATTATTTATTGATCATTACGATGAATTAATGCTTTTTAAATTAGTTAATAATTTATTTAATAAATAACATTAGGTCTGATAACTCCTAATTTACAAGATCTTGAATATGGTAAAATTTAACTATTCCGTTAATTATTAATATTAATAATCAATAATGATGATGATGATAATAATAATAATAATAATAATAATAAATTTTTAGCATGGGAATTTAATTATCTTGTTGACCTTAAAGATTATAACGATCAAAAAATAAGGGCTTGTATTGATGCTAAACATTTTGGAAATTATATGAGATTTGCTAATCATAAAGACAGTAAGTTACCAATTTTTTATTTTATTTTATCGTAGCTAATTAATTAATTTTCAAATACTTGAATTTTCAATTGATTATCAGAAAATCAAAACGGAGGACAACAATATGTCATGCATAATGGTATATGGCATGTACTTTATTTGGCTCAGGCTCACATCAAAGTAAGCATTGTGTATTTACGATACTTATGATATTTATTATATTTATTATTTCAGACCTAATTGTTGTTATTACTATTTAATTCCCTGTCTACTAGGCCAATGAACAAATATTTGTTAATTATGGTCCGGGATATTGGGAAAATAAGAAAAAATTTGAATTCTAAAATCATATTAATTATACGAAATTAATTATTAATTAAAACAACAACAACAACAACAACAACAACAACAACAATAGATTTTTCTAGACTTTTTATTTATTTAAAAAAAAATTTTATTTTATTCAATATCTCTATTATCAGTGATGATATGAGAAAAAGTAATGGCAGCAATGTTGGTGATGGTGATGGGGATGGGAATGGTAAAAATTATCTTATAATTATAATTTATTAATAAACATAAACATTTTTTCGTTACTTTCTTTTAAAGAAAAATACCTAATAATAATAATTAAAAATCTTGGATCATGCATGATATTTTCAAAATATCGATTTCATTCCTTCTTCCGAACGAATAATTTTAACATAATCAATTCTACTGTAAAAAATTTTCCAATTCTTATAATAAAACTAATAATGCCATAAAACTTTTATAAGTTTTTGGCAATGTTTTGATTTTTGTAATCACAGTGAATTTTTCTAGGTGCTTATCAAGTTCCCTTGCTTTATCAGATTTTTCTGGATCATTTATCACCCAAAGAATGGCCTGAATTAGCCCTTAAATCAATCTAATGTATTCAATTGGCTGTTTTCTTAATAACAAAATTGATCCGAGCTTTATTTCTTTGACTGATTATATAGTATTTTTCAAGTTTAATAAAATAGTTGGTTAAATCTACAATTTCAACATTTGAAAATAATAGCCTCACATGTTCTTCTTTTTACTTTTACAATGTAGTTTTTCATCGCCATAAATTTCTCAGGTAATTTTCCATCATCTTGCCAACTTTTTCAGATTTGAAATATTAAAAAAGCCATTCACATTTTTGGCTTATCCACTTTGCGTTTCCCCTTTTTTAAAGTTTCGAATTCGATTTTAAATTAAGGTATTTTCTATTGACGAAGGACTCATCCATCCATCCCATATATAGTAATAAAAATAAAAATATAGAGTCCTGTTTGCTTGGATACTGAAACGAGATCTTTTCTTCCTACGATATAAATAACGATTAGATAGATAATATAGGGGATAATGATTCAATGATTATTAATTTATTGATTCGTTAATTTTATCTCTTCTTACTGCTGCAATAAATACGAGGTCCTACTTACTAAATTGTGACATAAAGAAAATCATTGCTAATAACTTTTGAAAAGGTTCAGTTCAAGAAAAATAATCAAGTCAGAGGTGAGATAAATAAACAAATTAAATATTGTCTATTTATCATTTGTGAGAATTCATTCATCCTAAATCGAAGAATTGTTACAGGAGAAATATTACGAGTAGAATTATTATCGAATATGTTTGAGAATAAGTATATATTAACAACCAATTAAATTGAATACGCAATAGTGATTTTCAATTGGCTCTTCAAAAAGCGCGTGATTGATTTAAAGGGGCGAAAAAAATTTTTCTAGTCTTTTTTATTTTATAAAAAATTACGTGTTTAACATTCTAACAATGTCTACTTACAAAACTTCTGAGCCACGATTAGAGGATGATTTATTTTCAGAACGAGCTCGTTTCTTTATGGAATTTTTAGAAGCCGAGGTAAGTAATATTTGAGCAGTCGTGTCTTCCGATATTCATTATAAAACGCGTAAATAAAATAATATGATTTATCATTTGCAGAGCATTACTGGAACAGAAAGTAGTTATAAAGCTTCGGTTGAATCTTTGCTTAAAAATAAACAGAAACGTTTAATTATCAATTTGAATACCCTAAGAAATTATAATCCTGAATACGCACAAAAGTAATCATTCAATCAATCGATCGATCTATCCAATAATCAAATAATTTATGTGCTAATTAATCTCTATTTTTTTCAAAACAAATAATAGTCTTATAGAATTTCCCAATGATTTTATACCACCATTTCAAAAGGCTCTTAAGGATGCCGTAATTGCCTGCAATGATCTAATTAATTTTATGCCTAAAAAAAAACTTGAAGATCAACAATTTTATGTGGGATTTAGTGGTAGTTTTTTTCATCATTTGAATCCAAGAACTTTGAAATCAATCCATTTATCAAAATTAATTAGCATTGAGGGAATTGTATCACGATGTAATTATATTTATTTATACATAATCATGCAAGTGGTTTTTGCTCTTTGAAAAAAAAAAAGTTATTTATTATTATTTATTATGATTTTTTGATAAAGGTTCATTTGTTAGATTAAAACTTGCAAAAAGTGTTCATCACTGTGGAAAAACTGGGGAATTCCATCAAAAAGAATACAGAGATTTTACAACAATAGGAAATTTCATACCTACATCAAATGCCTATCCAACTGAAGATGGAAACGGAAATCAATTGACCACTGAATTTGGATATTCAGTTTATCGTGATCATCAAACAATCTGTCTTCAAGAAATGCCGGAAAAAGCTCCTGCTGGTCAACTGCTAAGATCAATCGATATAGTATTAGATGATGACTTGGTCGACAAGGTAAAACCTGGTGATCGCATCCAATTGGCTGGCATTTATAGAGCTATTGGAAAACCAAGTCAAAACTCTACTTCTGCAACATTTAGGTTGATATTTTTTATTTTATTTTTTTATTGTTGAAATATTTCATTATCATATGTTACATTATTGTTTTTACAAAAACAATCTTAGAACTGTTCTTATTGCTACAAATATTACCATCTTGTCTGGCGACATGTGTAATAATATTATTACTGCTGGCGACTCTTTTAAAATTGAAGAGATTGCAAAACAAAGAAAAGATGACATATTTGAATTTCTCACTAAATCGTTAGCACCTTCAATATATGGTCATGAATACATCAAAAAAGCCATTTTGTTATTGTTATTAGGCGGCAAAGAGCAAAATTTAACCAGTGGTACACATATAAGAGGGTAAATCCAACTAATTGATGATTTGAAAAATTGATGTTGCAAAAAAAATTAATATTTATTATATTATTATTGTTATTTTAGTGATATCAATATATTGATGGTAGGTGATCCATCCACTGCCAAATCACAATTACTTCGCCGCGTATTAAACATAGCACCTCTTTGTATTGCAACCACTGGTCGTGGATCATCTGGTGTAGGCTTAACTGCTGCAGTTACAAGGGATAAAGAAACAGGTAAACCTCCAATGGAAATCATAATTATATGTACACACGATATATATATATTTCTATATTGATTTTAAATTTTTTTTTTTGATAAGGTGAAAGAAGTCTTGATGCAGGTGCAATGGTTCTTGCTGATCGTGGTGTAGTTTGTATTGATGAGTTTGATAAAATGACTGATGTGGATCGTGTTGCAATCCATGAAGTTATGGAACAACAAACTGTAACTATTGCAAAAGCCGGTATTCACACTTCTCTTAATGCTCGGTGTAGTGTTATCGCTGCTGCTAATCCGATCTATGGACAAGTAATTATTTATTATATTATTTTTATAGATAAATTATTTATTTATTTTAATTAATTAATTATTTATTTATTTATTTAAATTCCAATTGCACGAATAAAGTACGATGTTCATAAAACGCCAGCACAAAATATTGCACTACCAGATTCAATCTTATCACGTTTTGATTTAGTGTTTGTAATAACAGACGATATAGATAATACTAGAGATCGTGTTATTTCCCAACATGTTTTACATTTACACCGGTATCGTCCACCAAATTTGGAAGAGGGCACTCCAATCAAGGATAGTCAACAACAAACCATCTTTATGAAACACGATGATACTAATAATGGTACCGAAGAACCTACTCCAGTTTATATACAAACTAATTATCAATCTATTCAACAACAAGACCCTAATGGAGATGGTGTTGACGGTGGTGGCAGTAGTAGTAGATCTCTTTCTTTGAGAGCAAAGGAAAATGAACAACAAATTTTAACTTCAGAATTTTTTAAGAAATATATTCAATATGCGAAATCGTTGCCTCAACCTACTGTATCTAAAAAAGCAGCAGAGTACATTGTAAATGTATGGGTAGAACTTCGTAATGCTAATATGGCTGAACGACAAACTAGGGTAAAAAATTTTATTTGGTTTCGTTTTTTTAAATTAATTAATGATGTTAATTATTTTGTAAATTTGATTTTATATATATATGTGTGTGTGTGTGTGTGTTTTAGACAGCGCCTATTACACCTCGTGCTCTAGACTCATTATTTCGTTTAGCTACAGCACATGCGAAAGCACGCTTACGCGAAAAGGTTACTGTAAAGGATGCAAAAGTAGCAGAAGAAATTGTAAGGTTTGCCTTATTCAAGGAAGTAATTAATAAGAAAGCTAAAAGACGTAATAGACGTAATAATCATAAAAGACGTAGAGTAAGTGTTAATTCACGTGCTGATGAAGGCGGTGATGGAGGTGGTGATGAAGGTGGCGATGAAGCTAATCATGATAATCACGGAAGAGGAGATACTGATGATGATGACGATGATGACGACGACAACAACGGCGATGATAATGTTAATGTAGGCAATAATAATAATGTTAATAATAACAATAACAATAATGAAAATGATAATAATGGCGATCAAGCTGATAATGAATCAACAAGGTGGGTAGGGTGTTATTTTATTATTATTTAAGGATGATAATTGATTTAAAAAAAATTAAAATCACACCTTCCTTGAAAATTTGATGATAACTAAAAAGAACATCGAGAGATAAAGGCAAAGGTAGAATGGAAGTAGACTCGCCTCCAAAAGGAGATGAAAACACAAATCAATCAACTTTATCACAAAATCGGTAATTATTTTTATTAAAACAAATTGATAAATTTTTGATCAATCCTTCTAACCAATTATACCTTTATTTTTAAAATTAGATATGAAACGTTCAGAGAACTATTCAGCAAAATCACATCAAAGTTTTCATCGAAAATAAAGTATGATGAATTACTCGAGGAAATAAATAAATTAACAGCAGAAAAGAATATAGAACATTTTGATGTTGAAGAAATGAAATCTGCTTTGGAAGCAATGGAAAAAGATGGCAAAGCATTGCGTACAGATGATTCTGTCTTTCTAATATAATTTAAATATAATCCATTCCATCATTTTATAAGTGTTAATAATAATAATAATAGTAAAAATAAATATTTGATTTTTTAATCAATTTACAAATTACCAAGAATAATAAAAAAATGTTGCTATATATACAAAGCAAATATTTTATTAAATGTCTACCCCAATGATAATAAGGCACACCGAACAAGGATTAAGATTTTTTATTTTTTCTGTGAACAAATCAGGCAAAAAATGTTTTACATTTATTTATTTCAGATGTCATCATAATCAATAACGTTAATTGGAATTTTCTACGAGATTCATATCTTTTTTATTACATTGGCTTGTTAATCTCATTTCTAAGACCCACGAGTAAATTTTCGAGTTTTTTCAAGAGAAACAAAATCTAATGCTAACGTAATAGTTTTTCTAATGATTTAAAAAAAACAATAATAATAACATAAAATTTAGTTGTTAGTTATTTTTTTGGAATTAATGAATGTCTTTTAAAAATCACGTGTAGAAACGGTGTGTTTATAGCACCATACAATTTATTTTTTAAAAAAGTGTTAATTATTTCAATCCTAAAAAAACTCAACAGGCAAATAACAAATAGCAAAGAAGAGAGAAGCTGGACATTTTACGAAAAAATTACTTTATATCAGAGAATGGAAAAGCAAGCCCAAAACAAAAATCCACGATCAAGGTTACTTTGAGAAAAAGCAACCTCGAGAATAAATTGAAGAAAACTTTGTCAAATGACTTGATTTATTATAAAGATAAAACCCGAGAGTAAATCCAATATAAGAACCGATATTTTTTGTTATGCAAATTTCGCGGAATAGTCAAAAAGATGGTAAGTGTATAATTAAAAAAATCTTTTGTTTCCCGTAGTTGTTGTAAGTAAACTACTTTCTACACATCCTTTTGATAATAATGATTATAACAATTTCAAACCGTCTATGATATCGAAGCAAAATAAAATAATAATAATTACTGTATTAGTTCGAGATTTTTACGTAATAATAATAATAATAATGTTATATCCCATAAGTATAAGGGTTAAAATTTTAGACCCTGTTTACTTAGTATAATAGTGAATGAAATTCGTACAAAGCTTGGAACATTTAGTTCATATATCACAAACATGTGTGTAATTAATTACAATATATTTTGCTGACCGACTTTTGCTAGAGAATTTTCCAAATGAATTTTTAAAGAACAATTTTTGGTTCTGAAACTTATATAAAAATGCGTAAAAATTAAGATCACGCCGCGTTCGAGCTGCAATTATTGTCTGAGCTCGAAACGAGTTAAATTTAACATCTAGAAAAACTTTGTTGGTTTTTTTGTTATTTTTTAAAGTTTAGATTTAGAACGTGGGAAAGCACGTCACGTTAATTGTTTTTTTTTCTCGATTCAATTCAACCGAAATCTCAATCAAACCAACCCAAATCCGAATTTCGGTTTGCATACATAAACTTTCTTCGGAGCTTTATAATTAACTTAATTTATAAATTTTAGTGGCCTTTAAAATAAACTTTTTATGTTTTACATAGTATTTATTTATTTGGAAGGTGCACATTGTATTGAGTATGAGATTTCACTTGCAAGTTTAAGAAATATTAGAGCCAATAACCTGATAAAGCCATTTATTAATATGCTCCACCATATCAAGGACTAGCATTGGTTTTACAACACCTCTGAATTAACTCATCATTTTTTCGAATTGCTTGGTGGTTTGATTTAATATAAATAAAATGAATATTTTCCTCGAATTATTTAATGATTTAAATACTGCATTCTGGGCTCCAAAATAACTAAACTCCTTTTTATTTTCTTCAATTTCTTTAGCAGTATAAATTGAGCTGAATCCATCTTCTGTTAACTTTTGTATATTTTAAATTGCTCATAAGGTATCCATTCTATAATTTTATCTGGAAGGGATGAAATCTGTTGACATTTTTTAATAAAACCATCAACTATCTCATATGTTCGATTAGGCCCCCAAATATAATTTCGGGAAACTACAACTGAATTTTAAAACCGTTTCCAGCCTTCAAGTAATAGAGGAAATATTTCATTCCTTTTTTTTAACATTTTACAATATTTGTTAGAAAATTTATATATATATAAAATCGATACAAATTTTCGTTCTATTTACCCTTAATAAAAATTAATTTATTCGTTTGAGTCGACTGTTTACCGTTCGCCCCTTTCCAACCTGATAGTTATATAAATCTTCGTGATTGAATTCCCCATAACAATCTGTCTCACTATAACGGCTATTTTCTGCTAGACAAAAGTCGTTATAGAGAGAGTGAACTGTATGTTGAATGTTGGATGTCGATATCGTAAAGTTGTACGAATGCATGATAGTTCGAGTTAATAACCACCAGCTAACCTTTTGGAGATGATAATGACGAACATTGCTGTTAATGTAATTTTTTGTAATGATTCTTCTCATGAAAAGGTTAAAAAGTAATGTAAGTCACTGCCATGACTTAAAAATTATTTATCGGATGTATATGATTATTATTTCTATTACCCTTCTTTGTCACCAATAATGAGCTTTGGAATATATTTTTTGTTTGCAACAATAGCATAAATTAAACAAGTAAAATGAAGAGATTTCTGGAAGAGTGTAATAACAATTATTTAATAGCAGTAGAAACTAGTGTCATGAATGATAAAACTGTGGATTAGTATTTATAGACATTGGAAAGTTCAATGAAAAGAATCAGGCATATTAGCTAATAAAATTTACAATCAAAAATTCATTACTTTTTGAGGATCAAAGAATTTTCGATTTTTGAAATTAATGATTTTTTTTGGATGGGAAAATTGCTAAAGGATTTCGCTTGTGCAGATGAAAGAGAAGAATTTTGATATTAATTAAATTAGGAATTCCTCGCCCATATTTAATTATGGATAATTTGGAGAAACTCTTTGCTTTCTAATCATTTCTAATTCTAAATTATTTTTGTAGTATAATAAACGGAACCTGGGCTATTTCTATGGGTATGTTTTTATGTTCTGCCATTGTTTTTTGGTAGTTATGAATGTATTAATTTAAACCTATAATGTTAGATTGACATCCAAGATTCTATAGCTAACTTTATAAATTTCATATTGTGAATTTATTATGAGTCTTTTTTTTTTAAAAAAAAATATAAATGAAATAAATATTTCCCATCAATCTTTTAAAAGAGGGATTGTAAGATTAAAAATTTGAACTAATTAACTTCTATATTAAAATTATATTTCATAATTTAATAAGAAGCTTACATCACTTAAATTTAATTTAGAAATTTTATCATTTAGTAGTCTACTTGTATGATATGCTAATGGATGTGGTTTGTGAATTTGTAGTAAATTATTATTATTATTATCACCACCACTATTATTTTCATAGAGAGTTTTAGTTTCAAATTTATTTTCAGCAAATTCAAAAAGCTCTCTGATAGTTGGTCTCTTGGTTGGATCCATATCCCAACATTTCTGCATCATTTGTACATAATCACCAGGCATCCCCGGTAATATTGGTGGTCGTAAGCCTTCAAGTACACCTAACATCAAGCAATGATTGTGAGCTCTATCATCAAATGGTGGGTGGCCTGCAAATATTTCCCACATCAGCATCCCAATGCTATAAATATCTGATTCTTTTGTGTTCTTATTTCCTTTAAGTAGTTCTGGTGCAATATATGGTACAATTCCATAGATTTCATTTGATGATTTTTCATCAACTGGTCCACATAATCCCAAATCTGTAATATAACCACCACCACTTCCATTTATTAATATATTACCACTATGTAGATCACAATGTATAAAATCTTTTCCATGTATATCATCTAATGCACTACATAAATGGCTAAAAATATTAATTCTACTTTTTAATGTTAAACTAGAATGATTTTTTTGTAAATAATCTCTTAAATTTCCTCCTGGAAGATAATTAAGAACCATTGCATAATTCCCACTATCTGGGAATTTAGTTATACCAAAACAAGGAACAATTGTATTTGATCTGATTTTACAATAATTTAATGCCTGTAATTAATTATATAAATAAAATCAATTAAATCAAACCATTTAATTTAAATAATTTAATTTAATTTAAATAAAATCAATTACCTCATCAAAGAAAGGTTTTCCTGGATTACTTGAATTATTTAATGATTTTAATATTATATCCTGAGCTCCATAATAGCTAAACTCCTTTTTATTTTCATCATAATCACATATACTTCCCCTTGTCCACTTGGCAGTATAAATTAAACTGAATCCACCTTCTGTTAACTTTTGTATATTTTTAAATTGCTCATAAGGTATCCATTCTATAATTTTATCTGGAAGGGATGAAAGTTGTTGACATTTTTGAATAAAAACATCAATTATCTCATTTCCAGATGTCCAATTATTGAAAAGACTCTGTAAATGTAGACAAATACACTCTTCACAAAATTTATCAGAGTATTTTGTTAATTTACACTTGCCACATACTCTTATTTTTCCCAATTTATAAATTACATTATATAATTCAAAAGCATTAATAAACTTTTCTCTACAATATTTTCTTTCATTTTCTAATAGTTCATTGTTTTCACTGACTAATTGTAAAAAATAACTTTTTTCATTTTCTTTGGATGAAATAGTTGAGAAAACAGTACTATTCATTTCAATATAAGTTTTAGTTACTAGTTCTTCTCTGTCTGGTGTTAATAATTTTTCATATAGCATTGTTAATGTTAATATTTAAACTTTTTAAAAAAATTTAAAATGTATATAATATTCCGAAGATTGTCAATTTTTTTGTACAAAAAAATTGGAAAACGGAAAAAAGAAACTGTGAATCGTTAATTACTAAGAAATCGTATATAATATAATATACATATATATTTATACTGGTGTTTAATTTTTTTATTCAATAAGTTTCGTATACATGACGAGATGACAAGAAAATTGCATATTATAGTAATATGGAAACTAGTGAACAGAAAAGGTAACGTAAATAGTTTCAA